CCCACCCCCCGCTCCCCCCGAGGACATGACCTCACTCGACCATCCCAAACCACAACCACTATACCTGTAGCAGACTAAGGGAAATCACTAACACATACTTGGCGACAGATCAAACTAGAAGAAGACAAGTTGCAACTACATGCATACTACTATGGTAAGTAAACTAATACGAACTGAGATGGCAGCAATTTAACTAACACAAAGAAGGGAAACAAGAAAACAGGAGGTACCACATCCCACGAGTAGAACCTGGGAATTGTCTTGGTATACACGACGATGCTGCGGCCACCAAGTACGTTCACGTCCAACTCCCGTCACCCTTTGTTGACACTCGCCCGGGCTGAAGATGTTCTTCACTGTTTGCACACGCACGTCCTGCTCGCTGCCANGGGAGCGAGAGAAGAGAGAGATAGAGAGTTAGAAGTATAGTATACCTTAGTGATTAATGAAGTAGAAAAGGTCTCGAGAGAATGATTAATGAAGCAGGAAAGGTCTCGAGAGAAGAGGCTAATACAAGGAAAAGTTAGGTGATATCTTTTTATGTATCTAAATTCTAATTACAATAAGTGACACTTGTATTAGTAAAAGATAATACGTCTTGATGACCACCAAGGAATGTGACGAGATCATGGAGTTATTTATTACTAGATTTGAAGGAGGAATTTTTTGACGAAGAACTTTGATGTTTTCAATTAACCTGAACCCAAATTAGTTTAATCAGTATTACTAACTTTTAAATACTACTAAATGATTAAACTGAAAAATAAATTTTGATAAATTAATTGAAGTACAAGTAAGTTAATTCGAACACATCACTGTGCGAAAAAATTAAATAAGTAACGTCCGAAAGTCTGTTAGGGAATGATGATTTTTGATATCTGAAAACAAGATGCTATTAAAAGCTTAGGTAATGTATAAATCCAGTGGCAAAACCCGACCACGGTTTTATTTGCTTCGTGTATCGGAAAGATTTGCAAATGTGTCCTTGACTTTTGGTATCTTACTTTTAAAACATCCTTTTCAAGAAATTGTAGAATCCAATACTTAATTAGTTAGCACAAAGTAAAAGCAAGATAAAGCATAAATTGACAGTCTAATGCACGTTTTATGAGTTTAGTTATTCCATAATTACAAATTCATCTGTAAACTGTTCATTCTATTTTTCCCATTAATTCTGAGTTAAGTGTTTGTAACTAAGTTTTGAAAAATATTTCATTAATTATCTTTGGTACAACAAAAATTGCATCATTAAATACCTAAATATCAATATTAGTTTATTAAATTATCATCTTTTACATGTGATGTTGCACGAATTTATCTTTTAGCAATTTTCTTTTACTTTATTAATTATTTTCAGTTAAATTTCATCTTTCTATAAACTTTTATTCTATATTCAAAAAAAATAATGAGAATGTTCGATGTAATTATTTTTATTATAAACGAAAAATGGTAACTCCATATAAATAGATAGATTAATCAGGCTGAGAAATTTGCGTGGATGAATTTGTGATAGATCATGGACAAAGCAAAGAACTCATGAAAATAACTATTACAAGGCCCAAAAGGTAAAATGAACAAACCCAAAGGACTTTGGTGCAAATCTTTTGTAAAAGTAATTATAAAACTGGCAGAGTAAAAAATGCATTAACTTGTACCAGGGAAAGAAGCTAAAATTGTCTTTTAAATTCGTCACTTCACGAATTGAATATACATATACTGCTTTAAGAATCTTACTTTACTTGGAGAAGATAGCAATTTTATTGAAGCCATTCTCTTTCCCATCCATTTGAGCTTCTGGGTATGCTTCAAATCCATCTTGTCTTATTTTTTGTCTAAAAATTTGTTCTTTTTGCCTAAAAAGTTATGGGTTTGTTAAAATGAAGATATAGTTTGATTCAGAAACCTGCATTTCTTGTGATTTTGTAGCTGTTATGTGTTCTTGAAGCTGAAAAATTTCTTCTTGGAAATGTTAGGCGTCTTTATGAGGTAGATTGGTTGAACTTTAAAAGTTTCTTGCTTTTACTTTTTCTTGATGTTACTACATTTTGAGACGTTACAGAAAAGAAGAGGAAAATGAAGACCATCTTATTATTTTTTTTTGTTAAGTGGACTTGTGATGTTTCAGAAATTTTGGTGTGGATTAGGATTTAGTCCTAATGATGAGGTGTTCATGCTCTTGCGTGTGGTTTATAAATAGTCATTATTCTACTGGTTGATGAGTTTGTTTTTGACACGAAAGGTTTTCTTGTCTTTTGTGCTGAATTGATGGTGTTATTCATCATATGATGTAACATTCAGCTGATCCTTAGTAGTTTGGGATTGAGGAATTGGTGAATAATATTAATGCAGTTCATTAGTCATCTTAAATTTTATAGGTAAAATTGACGTATGGTATGGAGATGTTGGCTTGGTTTTCACTGAGCTGCAAGATTTATAACCTGAAACTTTACAGGTTTATATATGATAAAGGTGCAAACATTTTGTGGATTTATCTGTCGTTGAATAGGTTTTGATGAAGAGTAGATGTTTATTTGTAGTCTTGCACATCAATAGAGATGCTTTGTTTTTTATATCTTCTAAAATCACTGTCAGAGCTGATATGCTTGTTAGTTTAAATAATATGTCTGAAATATTATCCGCATGATTAGTTGTGGAATGCATCAGATCAGATTTTGCCCCTTGGCATTTAGGAAAAACCAAGAGTGGTAGAACAGAGGTTAATCTATTATGGTATTTATAATCTGAAGGAACATATTTAGGGATTAATTTTTCCTAGGTTGTTAAGCATTTTTACAACTTCTTCTAAGTTGACTGCTGGATTTTCAGGTCAGGCTATTATTTAATCATAAGCTTATTTTCTGGCATTTATTTCCTGAGGAACGTATAATCTTATATGAAAACTACGGTTATACTGAAGTTAGCAGGTTCTTGGATTCTATGCATAAGGTTAACATTTGGATCTTGGATCAACCTACAATAGATTTATTGCTTCCTTCTGCTCATAGTCTCATACCGTGTCCGGGTGAACTCATGAATTTGAGATAAGGTTGCAACCGTCCTTGATTATTTCATTTTTTCTGCCCTTTTAGGAGATATTCTTGTTTACTTGTAGGTGTATAAAAGGAAGTGTTCAGTCCTATGTTCTGGGATTTAGGTATGGATATATTTGGTAAGATGTCAGTATGCGTATCCCTAGCCGGCCCAACTTAGCAAGTTTTACTGTATTTAGAAGTATATCAATTGTTCAATCTAGGTAAGCCAAGGGAATTGAAAAGTCCATGTAACATAGCTTAAAAAGTTGTTTAAAGTTTAGCACGGAGACAATGCCTATTATATGGTAGATTTTTCCTCCATCTTATTTAATGTCTTCACAGATTGTCACTTCCTCCGTTGGTTCTCTTAAAGATGGCTCTTATGACAAGGTTACAAGTAGCATCCATTATACATGCAGAATTAAGATGATAACTTATGCACCAAACAAAAGATGCAGGATTGCTGTGGCATTCATTGTCGTTTTAAACACTTATAGGATGTCTCCCTCCTTCAAGTATTTGTTAGGTTTACTTCGCTGAGCTATAGGCACCAGCTCTTAAAAGGCTTCCTCATATCAATTTGTGTGGAATAGTGTCCTTCTCTTCTAACTTACACAAGTTATTATATCATTTCCTTGAAGTTGTAGAGTTTGTGTAGGCAGGTATGTCGCTCCCCTGATCCAGTTAGAAGGCTCCTTTTTTTTGTATGTGTTGAAGAGTTTCAGGTTTCATATATTGTACTTGTCATGGCCTTATACTTTGATATTTGATGAGTGATCTCAGTTTCACAATGAATTTCCCCCTCAGAAGAGCTCTTCTCGCTCACTACAATATGGACTTAATAATAAGCTTTGAGAATATTTGAATTATATCCCTTCCGATTACAATCCTTGAATAGGGGTCATGAGAAAAGCTTCATAGCAGAACTCTACTTGCTGATGAAATTCATTGGAGAAACAACTGGTACCTATTTGATGTTTATTTGGGTTAAGTGAACCCTCTTCTGTGGATTCCTCTAGTTCTGGTTTTACTATTGTGTTTGAGGACTACCTGAAGTCAACTTGTGTCCTAATAAGATTACTTTCGGAAATGGATGCGTTATTAGTAGTTGGCATATATTTGGGAATTGCATAGTCAAAAAGTGTCAATGGCTGGTATTCTTTATGTGATAAATGCTTGTCACTGAATTAATGACGTATATGGCATAATTGCTGAAAATTTCAATGCAGGACTGAAATACCTCTTAAGCTTTATATCTTTTGGTTCATGAAGCTTTTGAAGTACAAGATATAGTAATCACAGGGTTAGAGTTTGCTGTCCAATCATTTACAATGTCTATGTTAACAAAGTTACGCTGCATCACGCTTGATGTTACCGGCACACTCATTGCTTACAAAGGAGAGCTGGGTGACTATTATTGCATGGCAGCCAAAGCTGCTGGGAAGCAATGTCCTGACTATAAGCGGGTTCATGAAGGTTTTAAGCTCGCATATACAGAAATGGCACAGAAGCACCCATGTTTTGGATTTGCTGAAAAGATTCCTAACATTGTGTGGTGGAAAACTTGTGTCAGGGATTCCTTTGTTAGGGTATTGTACATGACATTATCAAGCTTTTCAGTATATTCTATTACCTTATTTCCGAAACTACATATTCATTCGGAAATACAGTAGCAGAATTACTAAGTAACTAACCTTCGACGATTCCAAAATTGTGGTTTCATTCTAAACGTTAGTAGTTGTTTCATTTAGTACTGACATTAACCATCTCTTTTTGACAGGCAGGATATGAATATGATGAGGAGACATTTGAGAAGATATTTAGACGCATATATGCTACTTTTGGTTCTTCTGCGCCTTATAGCATATTTCCTGATTCTAAACCGTTTCTCAGATGGCTCCGCGAGAGGGGCATTACGGTTGGGCTGGTCAGCAATGCCGAGTATCGGTATCAGGACGTAATTCTTCCTGCTTTAGGTTTGCATCAGGTAGATAAACAATAGCACTGATTTCATTTAGCTACATTGAATCTTCTTCTAACCATTTTTGGCTGAGCTGTTAAATCTTTTTCCACAAACACTGACCATCACAAAGTAGTTGTGACCCGCTTTTTTGTGCGTGACACTAAAATCAGGGATCTGAGTGGGACTTTGGCGTATTCTCCGGTCTTGAAGGTGTTGAAAAACCGGATCCAAGGTTATTTGATATTGCCTTGAAGAGAGCAGGAAATGTAGCACCGGAGGAAGTACTTCATATTGGAGATAGCATGAGGAAAGACTACTTGCCCGCGCGAAGTGTTGGGATGCATGCTTTATTGTTGGACAGATTCAAAACAGCTGATGCTGTCAATTGGAGAAAATCTGGTGCCACTGTGCTGCCTGACTTGACCGCTACCAAAGACTGGCTTACTTCTGAGGAATTGAAATGCAATGACATATGAACTTTGTTTGATTTCTTTGATTACTTTATTGGCTTTAAAGGTGATTTGTATTACAAGAATGGGAAAATGAGTTATGAGTTATATGAATGTGATGAGGATGGATTTGGTTCAATTTGCCACATGCTGTGTTATTATATCATCTTGTCTTTTCTTCTTTTCTTGTGGCAAGCATTCCTACTCCTAGGTTAACTATAGTGCAACTAACTGTTAATTGACGAGTGTGTAACATTCACAACCTGCACAATTAGAAGCCATCTTATGTACAGGTAGATCCATTGGACCTGGTGTGCAATTTTTCGGCAGTTTTTGATTATCCAATCGTATATTGAAAATGAGCAGTTGATTCCGCATAAGCAATGCTAGCTTTGATATGGATTCGATTAAAATTCTAGGAAGTGAGGTAAATTGTTATGTCACGGGTGATGCAAGTTCTTCCCTTCTGAATCAGATAGATTCATATTTAAAAGAGGTTGACGATAAGTTCTTTCAAAATTGACTATTTGCCCCTCTGTTTGAGGTGTTTCAGAGATGTTTGCGATCGAGTAAATAGCTCTACGAATGGATCAGATTGACTTGGAAAATGGACTCAGTGTGCTTTTCAACATTAACTCTGGGTTTTTGCTACAACATAAGCGGCTATATAAAGCCGCAGTCTTGGTTTGTCATACGACTCATACCCCAAACTAAATTTGTCAAGGGCTCAACGGTACATCCTTATAAAAAGTATACATTATGTGTTTGTGATTGTGACTATTTAAATTTGTAAAATTTGAGTAAAGTGATACAAGACAATTGTCGCCCTGTAATTGAATTGGCACCCTAAAGTCGGTTCATGTGGTTGTCAACACTCCTAGCCCGTTCATGTGTCAGAATATTTTACATTGGTTGAAGGAATAAGTTATCGTCTTCTTATATGACCTTTAATGAATTCACTAATGGACTAACTTTTGGGGTTGAATTATGTTCGACGTTCATTTACTTTTACATTTTAATACGTAACTAGAAACGTAAAACAGTCAATTTCTGGAAGCAATCTTCACTGTTTATACTTCGCTTCTATGTTAGAATACATCCGGAATAGCAATTAGGGATTGTTGTTTTCTTTCTGTTTCTTGGTTTGCTTAAAACATAAAAAAGGTCTGTTTCATGTCATTATGAAATTGAGAAACTTCTCTTTAAGTTAGCAATGCGCTTTCATTTTAGGTAAGTAACAAGTGCATTTACTTAAATTCTAAGAAAATGGACAGGTGAATACAAGCACTTTAAAACTTGAGAACATGTGATGGCTTTCTTAAGGTATATCAACTGTCTCCACAAGAAAGTAAATCTCGCGATAAGTTTCTTGAGGAAAGACCAAGGCATAGAACATTGAGATGGGCCAAAATTGTTCACTTTTTCAAAAACTAATTAAGGACCACTTTGGTTCAGAACAATATTTAAACGACAAGAACAACCCTTTCCCTTCAGATAATATATAAAAAGTGCATATATAACTCAACTGTGTCAACCCAGTAGGCCATGACAATGACTATCAAAGAGCTAACTCAGTTCTAACGCAGCTGAAAAAAGATTTATGCAACATAACTCTCAGATTTACTAGACTTAGTTGAAATTATGAATTAAAGCAAAGAAAAGGATACAATGTAGGTGATTTAGAACAAAGCAACCAGCAACAGAGAGATTAACCATATTTCTGATGAGAAATGGAACAGCAAACCCCTCCAGAAAAGAATTTAAACCAGCTTATAAGCCAAGACTTACCGATTAAGATTGACCATACAGAGGGCACCTATCACCCAATACCTGTTTTCATTGTCAACATATTCAAATCTGAATCCAAAAACTGAGTATTGTGCCAAACAAGTACATTTTGAAATTTAAAGTACATTGATTCAATGAGGATTAAAAGTTCAACACTTTCTTAGCCCCTCTTAGATCGGAGTGCTTATAGATGTCATACCAAGAACAGAGGCCAAAATCTTTCTACCACCTTGCAAACTTCCTCCAGCCTCAACTAGTTATTTTACTGGGACATCAGACTTCAAACAAAGGTAGTTGTCATTAAGATATTGACATCCACAGAGCCATATAATACAAAAGCAGATTATAAGGAGCTAACAAAAACATCTCAAAACATAAGACTGAAAATAGCCTTGTGGATTGCAGTAATCAAGTCTGAACAAATAAAAGACAAAGATTAAACTATTAAACTAATACGCATGTCTATGATCAGGAACTCAGCTGCAACAAACTCCTGCCCAAACAAGTGAATAAACGGCAAAAATTTTGAACTACATGACATGCAATATGACATACATATGAGCATTGATTTGGTCAAGGGGGCCAAGACTTTCTCCTCTACTCATCTTGTGCATCCTTATTCTTCTTTTTCTTCTTCTCCTTCTTCTTGCTTTTACTTCCTTCATCGCCATCACTCCCAACAGCTACATCACCATTCTCTGCATCTTTATCTTTCTTCTTTTTTTTCTTCTTTTTCTCAGACTTCTCCTCATCTGAAGATGCAGCACCATCTTTCTCTTTTTCTTTCTTTTTCTTTTCCTTTTTTGCCGTCTCTACATCAGGGGTTGCAGCTTCATCAGCTTCTTTCTTCTTTTTCTTCTTTTCTTTCTTTGTGACTTCAACCTCCACAGCTTCATCTCCAGCTTTCTTCTCCTGGACTATCTCTACCTTTGGTTTCTTTAAAGCACTGGGTGCAGGGGATGCATCTAAGTCATCCAATTTTCTCTTGTTACCCTCCTCCTCATCTTCCTTATGTTTCTTCTTCTTTTTCTTCTCAGCATCGTCAACTGCACCATCAGCAGGCACCGCATCAGGATCGGTTTTCACATTAGCAGCAGCGAGACCAGCAACCATAGCGTCCCCTCCTGTAGGCAAAACAACATTCCTCAACCACTCAGCTGGAGTTTTCTCATTTGGCTTTCCATGTTTATCCAACTTCCCCTCAGAAACCAACTTCTTCTTCATCGAAGCCCTTGGCCCTAAGCCCCATTTCCTAGGATAAGTATCCCTGTCCATCACCACTCTCTTAATCTTAGCAACCACACCATGATCACAAGTGGCCATAACAGCAGTGGTCATTTCTGCAATCCCCAATGCGATGGCCTCTCCTTTAGTAGTCATCAGCACAACCTCCTCCCCAACCTCAATATCATTCTCAAACCTCAAAAGCCCGGGAATCATCAACTTAGCACCGTAACAAATAGCATTTACCGCCGAATCCTTAACCACCAACCTCTTATAACTAGTCAAAACCACCTCCAATGGCATAATTACCCTCCTCAGGTAAGTCTCATCCCTATAGTTATCGTACATCCATTGTGCATCCATCACATCGTGCATCGTCACCATATTATTCTTCTCACCCAAAATCCCAGACCTCACTCTCCTCAACTCCTGCATATGTCCACCCACACCCAACAACAATCCAAGATGCACACAAAGCGTCCGAACATAAGTACCCGCCTCACACGATATCCAAAACACAACCAAATGCCTATCAGCATCATACTCAAGCAACTTACTCTCATAAATAGTTCTAATCCTAAGTTGTCTTTTCACAGCAGAAATCAAAGGTGGTCTTTGAAACACAGCCCCAGTTAAAGCCTCAAGTGCTCTAGCTACCTTAGCAACATCAGGAACATCAGCATGTAATCTAGCAACACAAACATATTCTTTACCAGCACCCTGTTGGGATTTAACCAAACGGGTCGCTCTATCAATGCAAACAATCAAATTACCAGTAACTTTAGGATCAAGAGTTCCACTGTGACCCGTTTTCTCAACCCGGAGAATCCGTTTAATCCAAGCTACAACTTCATGTGAAGATGGGTTAGCAGGTTTATCAAGATTAAGAATACCGTACCTTATGTATTCAGCAAGTGGACGCTTCAGTGGTGAAAACCCAGATGGGAGAGGAGTGTAGTGACCAGTTCGTACATTGAGACGGTCGTAGTTTTTCAAGAGAATGGGCCACTGTGAAGTGTCGATAGCGGGGGTGTAGCTTTGTGGTTTGATGAGAAAATCAACATCAAGATCAGATTTTTTGTCAGTTTGAGTGGAGAGTGTTTGGGTTTCATCCTCATTTTTGGGTGATTTNAGGGGTTCAGGTAGGGTTTAAGAAGTTACACTGTCTAGGGTTTTAACAGAGTGAGAAATGAGAATATTATATAGGGGGGTGGCTGATGATTGAAGCTGAAGGATATAGAACCAGGGTTTAGGGTTTTTGGGTAAGAGCTTGCTGGTGAAATGGTGTGGAGGAATTAATGGGCCACATCCAAATTTTGGGCTGACAGTATGGGCCATGAACATAATTGGTTCAAAAATATACAAAGGCCCAAAGTAATTTTCCTTTTTTTATTATATGTTTTATACTTAAAACTAAACTGTAGCTCACAAGAATATCTACAAAAGTGTAGGAATGGACATCATATCAAATATTTGATAAAATCATCATATCCTTAACAGACGAAATTTTCTGTTGTGTTTGTATCAATTTGATTGAGAATTCTTTTTTATTGAATTACTTCTCCAAGAATAAAACTAACTTCATCCCCATGGATTTTTACTTTGTACAATTTAACTTCTGTAGTTGGATGCTGGGTAATGAGGAAATGGGAAGGAGAAACATTTGATGAAAAGTATAATTTGCTCTCTAAGGGGCAAATTTGATTCTAAGTATTACATTTTTCAAGCTCTCCTTTAGAAACTTGAAATTGGAGAAGCAAACTCAAGGAACTCTTCGTCACATTCAAATGCCAACATATGTTGTTCTTCTAAAGTGACCATAGCTTCAACACCATCCACACTTTGATCAAAAGAAATTCTTGAATGGACCCATTGGTGCACACACTCTTTCTGGTTTTCCCCATCCAAAATCTATACTATAACCAGAGAACTTGCACAACGTTATTGCAAAAATACGTGTCATATTCCCAACTTCCCTATGCATGTATATACACACACGCACAAGAAGAGCCATAATATAGTATCATACTTGCACGCACTCAACATTTGATAGTGCACTTTGAACTTGAAACCTCTGATTAAAGATGGGGAATCCCGATCGTCAAAAAACACATTCCTTGTGTTAAGGACAACTAATTAAGCTAAGCTAAT